TTCATCTGCACCAAGGCCCGCGGCAACTTCCTCCTATGCTGTTTCCTTAACTCGCAAGTCTTTATTTTACAAATGATAAAGAATTTATGCTTCTCAAGCTCTATGATGGGTGTCATTCATGTATTTTAAGATGCACTCGGTCAGAAGACAATCGCCTGAGATATCATGACATTTTGTTTTTGATCGTCAGCATGATGTAATCTTATAGTTACAATAATATTTAAAATGATATTTATACATGACCAAACTAGTATGCAACTTAAGCAAAACTAAAAAAAAATTTTTACATTTATTTTTGTAGTTCAGCCCCAAACAAATATTTGTTGCATTTTTAATTTGTTAAAGTTAATTAGATTGACTATGTACAATCTTTAAGCTATATTTGATGTTTCATTGTTGAGTTAAACGTTTTTTAAGGGTCTCTGACACATTGCTTTTATTATTTAACTTTATTTTACTGTGTGCATCAGCAGGCAGTTTTTGTTAAGTTCATTATTTAATATAGGCTCCCTCAAAACACGCAACACAAGATGGACTTTTACAGAATAGCAGTTGGTAAGTTATTCAAGGGCGTACACAGATGGGAAGCATTTTGATTGATGTAGTGGGCCGCTCTGTCCAAAAGTGCCAAAAAATTTTGTCCCAGTCCAGCCCTGGCTATAACCCAAGAACCCATTTAACATTTGAGGAAAATGACAATTTTTTCTCTTTATGTTTTAACAGAAGAGTCTTCTGCTCAGCAAGTCAGCGTTTATTTGATCACATGAAAAGCACTATTCTCATGATTATTTTAAGAATTTTTTTTTTTATATGTGAATATGTTACTGTTTACATTCTGTTATACTTTTAATGAGAAATTGGTGAATTAGAAAATCAAAAGAACAGCATTTGTTTGAAATAGAACCTTTTGTAACACAATATTTCTTATATTACTGATTAAACAAATAATAAATAAATATACTATATTCTTACAGTATTTATAGAAAAAAAAAATGTAAAAGACCAAATGTTTTATCACTGATGACAGCAAGAAACGTGTCGTGCTAATCAACTCATGATATTTTCAAAACATGTTTCCAAGTTTTAGTACTGGTAGTGTGTGTATTTTATGTAATATGTTGATTGTTTTAACAGGGTTTTAATCATTATCAATAGACTAAAAAACCTTTGTAAACAAAGAGTAATGGAATTGTAAACTTACGGTTTGATTAGCTGTAAGGGAAACACCTTTATCGATGCACAAAGCAAACATCCTTTTCTTTCATTCTTCATCCTTTCTCAACCTTGTCGAAATAAATGATATAAACAGATATCTGTAAACTGTATCTAATGTAGCCAAGAACAGTAGTTAAGTTATGGTTAATTTGTTCGATGTTCACACGTCAAGTGCAGACAGGCGGCAGCCATTAATAACAGCCTAAATGGAAACGCAGGTGTGGGCGGGGCCTGTAGTGTGATGATGAAAAGGTTTAGCTAAACGTGCAAACATTAACCCTCTACTGCACAGTGTCACCATATGGCAACACGGTACTTATGTTCATTTCCCTGCCACTGTTTATTAAAGACCAACATTATATATATTTTTCTTGTTGGAAAGAAAACACCTTAGAGTAGCCAATGACGTGCTTTGGTTAAGTCACATGACCTGCAGTGTTTTTCTGTAGCGCAATTTCTCTACGCGTTTATTGTGAGTAATTGCTGAATGCAAATGTATATCAATAAAAACAAAGGATCAAATTATGTCAGATCCACAAAAAAAATCTGAAACATCACCTCCAGACCAGTATGTTATGATGACATATTCACAACAATTTTTTTTTCAATCAAATAGGCTGTTTTTTTTTTTTTTTGCAAATCGATCAAAAGTATGTGTTGCCAAATGAAACACAACACACGACAAATAATTCTATAAAACATTTTTTTTTATTTTTTTTATTTTATTTATTTATTTATTTATTTTTTGTATTCTATTGAATTGTCTATTGCAGTGGTTCTCAAACTTTTCTCACCAGTACCACCTCAGAAAAAATGGTCTCTCCAAGTACCACCATAAAGACTGGTATTAATATACATAGTAGGCACAAAACTACAGATTAATTCTTATTATTATGAATAGTTATAATTGTCAGCCACTTTAAACATATTAAATAGAACAATTGAACAATAACGCACTTACAGGTAAAAAAAAAAGATAAATAAAACTTCAATGTTTTAATTAAAATGTTATTTTAAAAGTTAATTAAAAATGGCACTCTTCTTAAAAAGTTAAAAGAAAACTATTATACTTGCATGTAAAGTATTATCATAAAGTAGCCTATTCATCAAAACTTGCAAATGTTTCTTGGACCTCATAAATATATACCATATGTCATAATATTCATATATAACTCTGTTTGATAAATTTTGAAATACACAGTCAGAATTATTAGCCCCCCATTGAATTTTTTTCCCTTTTCAATATTTCCCAAATATTTCAATTTGACTGCCTTTACTCATGATTTTTTATACCAATACATTTTATAAACAGATTATTATAGACATAAAAAGGAATTCAATACATTATTATGATTAATTAGGATCCAAATTAACACTCCTAAAATTATTCAAATAAATATAAATACTTTACAAATAATAATGATGATAATAATAGTGGGCATCACGGTGGTGCTGTGGGTAGCACGATCACCTCACAGTAAAAAGGTTGCTGGTATGAGCCTGGGTAAGTTTCCTCAAGGCGCTCCAGTTTCCCCCACAGTGCGTCCAAAGACGTGGCATAGGTAAATTAGGTAAGCTAAATTGTATGTTTGTGATGTGTATAGATGTTTCCCAGTGATGTATTGCAGTTGGAATGGCATCTGCTGCGTAAAACATATGTTGGATAAGTTGGTGGTTCATTCCGCTGTGGCGACCCCTGATTAATAAAGGGACTAAGCCGAAAAGTAAATGAATGAATGAATAATAATAGTAATGATGATGATAATAATGATTATTATCAATAGTACATATATACAGTAAAAAATGTAATAGAAACGATATATATGCTTTTTATGTTGTAGGATGTATTCATATTTGGTAGTTTGTGGCATCTGAAAGATTTAAAACCCCTGAGATAGATATAAATGAGACACAGACTGAATGTGTGAGTTTATTTCTGCGTCTATCTGCATCCTTAGATGCTTATTTGTGTGTGTTGTTCTGTGGCTGTCATCACTATCTGTTCCTGCTGAAATATAGCAAGCTCATCACGGTGTTAGTGCTCTAAAGCAGACTGGGTTGCATAAGCCCTTCACAATCCGCCCTTTAACCAGAGGATATGAGGATGACGGGCTGGCTCATGGCTGAATGGAAAAAAATGAAACAAATCTCTCCCCCGACATGGGGAAAAATACCTTTTTGGATCTTTGACAAACATTTTTGACAGATAAAATCCTTGCCAAAGGGGGCTTTGGTGATAAACAAATGCACGTTGAATCTAATAACCTCACCCAGGATTAAATTAGATTTCAAAGAAACATGGCAAAACTGCAGAAATCTTTTCATCACTCATTTGCTTATTGATTTATGTCACGGTATACAGTTGAAGTCAGAATTATTAGCCCCCCTCTGAATTTATTTTTCTTTTTAAAATATTTCCCAAATAATATTTGAGCAAGGGAACTTTCACAGTATGTCTGATAATAAATTTTCTCTTTTGGAGAAATTTTCTCTTTTTTTCTTTTTTGTTTTATTCCTGCTCGAATAAAAAACATTTTTTTTCAGTTTTTAAAAACAATTTAAGGTCAAAATTTTTAGCCCTTTTAAGCTATATATTTTTTGATAAGCTACAGAACAAACTATTGTTACACAATAACTTGCCTACACTGTAAACGATTTCTGTTGTTTTCACAGTATTATACTGCATTTCTCAACAGTTTTTTACTGTATAAGCTGTGCACAGTGTGTTACTGTATATATTGTTGTTTTCACAGAATAATAATGTATTTTCAACTTTTCTATACTGTGAACATGGTTAACAGTATGTAACTGTACATTTTACAATGAATTTTGGGGAAAAATCAGTTACTGTGCATCTAAATACAGTACTGCAAATGACCAAGAACAACTCCACACACACCATATATTATGATTTTTATGTTTATTTATTTTTGACAAATTATTTTGTGAAGTAAATAACCTAACCAGTCTCGTCAGACTGTTCAGTGCATTAAACTGTCCCCTGGTTTTCCATTTTTGGGTGCACTGCACCTTCATTTTATAAGGTAACACGGAAATATTAAATAATATTCAATAAACATAACTTTGTGCTAAACCAAAACGTAAATTGAAACAAAAATAGTTGATTCATGTAACAAAGACTGTTAAACACACAAAATGATTCCAAAGTCAGCTTAAATGTCAGAGTGACCAGCCTGCATTAGACGGATTCATGAATATTGGGCGCCCATGTGGGCCACCGTAGAGGTCACATATCTCCGCATTTTCAAAACAACATTTTAAAATACGCACTATCTTAATACATAAACCACAGACTTGAGTTTAAAACAACTACATTCTCGCATGAAAAACTGTTAAAACTTTATTTCATAACACATTTATTATCGAGCCATCGAAGACAGGGGCATGTCTCAATAATGTCTAGGCCGATTAAAGCATGAGGTTTGCCGTATACATGAGTGATGGTGCGCCGTCAACCCCTGGAGGTCAGAATCTCCCCTATCGGCAAAGCACACTTAAAATTAGGCATGATATCTATAAACAAACCACGGATTTGAGTTTGGAAGAACTACATTCTCGCATGAAAAACTGTTAAAACTTCATTTCGTGATATATTAAACGCAATATTTATGATGTGATCTGGCTTTTCTCATCCTCCATTAGCCTACTGCTTGTTGGTGTGAAATGAATTCTGGGAGAAAACAATATTAATTCTCAAAACACTTCAAGCGAACCTTATGTCAGATATATGTAATTATTTTCGCTGGTAAAGTGAACAAAAAAAAAACAATATTACTATTTAATCAATATCACGTTTGCACTGGTTCGGTTCAGCAGTCAAACGACACCGAATCGGATTGAACCGGATTGAACCGTTTGCTCGGTTTATGCTTGAATTATTTTAACACACGTGTTCACAAGCATATTCAGCAATATGCACTTAGTGTATAAATGCGTATGGCCGAGCAGTATAACGAAATAGTAATGATTCATTGTTGTGTCTTACAATAATATACTAAAAGGTTTTAGGCGGATTCGACTCTTTACTGTTCTAAGGAGCCGATTCATAGAACCGAGCTGACTCGATTCGACCTTCACCAGGCAAGCAACGGCTCTCCTTATTTGAAATCCACCTGTCGCCTTTTCTTCCTGTGAATTCATCCTCGGTAAGTGTTTCAGAGTCAAATTATGTCCGTTAAAGGATTGTTTTGTGTATATTTCTGTGTAGTGTGTGTAATTTAAAATAATTAACCAAGTTACCTTAGTTGTAGGTTCTAATGTCACGTAATTCGACGCCAGACCGTGATTGTAGTGTTTGCGAGGTACGTTAACTATTAGATAACGTAACATAGAGTGAGTTTATATTGAGTGTGTTTTTGACCATAGTAACGTTACCTGATAAAAAAACGTAACTTTTACTTAGTGTTGTTAACTGCATTTTCTATTTCAGCACAACACTGAAATGAAGGCAAAGTCACCATGAAAAGTTACGTTAAACGTTTAACGTTAAGGTAAGCTCTGGTCTTCACGTGGTCATTATGACTAAGTTATCATTATCGTTAAATTTGTAAACTGTAAGTTAGTTATTTAAATTAAACTCACAATGAAACAAGTCTAAACTGTTTTATTAAATTGAGCTGATTATAAAATTCAGTTGATGTCTTTTAAGCTAACTTTAATATAAACATAATTCATATTAATTGTCTATTTCTCACTGGTTAATGAGCTCATTGTATAGTGTATCATTAATTGTACATTTTATTTTTGGTGTTCAGGTGTAAGGAATGATTTGTATACAAATTTATTTTAACCCCACACAGATTGGTATGGTTGTACCACAAATTTAGATTATTAAATGTTAAGTCTTATTTTACTATTATTATATGTATCTTTTTTGCAGCTACAGCAATTGATGTTGAAAAACTGATGCTACCAATCTCTCCTCACTTAATTATTTAAGGTAATGTTGATGTCTTCCTCATTTTGTAGATTTTGAAATATCAAGTTCACAGATTTGTTGAGGAGTTTCATGTACAACCTATTTTTCTTCTTCCAGTAGTGACGCAGTGGCACAGTAGGTAGTGCTGTCGCCTCACAGCAAGAAGGTGGCTGGTTCGAGCCTCGGCTGGGTCAGTTGGCGTTTCTGTGTGGAGTTTGCATGTTCTCCCTGCGTTCACGTGGGTTTCCTCCAGGTGCTCCGGTTTCCCCCACAGTCCAAAGACATGTGGTACAGGTGAATTGAGTAGGTTTAGGTTAAATTGTCTGTAGTGTATGAGTGTGAATGAGTGTGTGTGGATGCAGCTAGAAGGTCATCTGCTGCATAAAACAAATGCTGTATAAGTTCATTCCGCTGTGTCGACCCCAGATTAATAAAGGGACTAATCCGAAAAGAAAATGAATTAATTAATAAAACAACCATGGCTAGGCTGTTTGGCTATCAAATGCTGAGTAAAAATTAGACACATATTTTTAACTATAACTGTAGTCTTTGTATTTATTAGCAATTTTACTGGGCGTGTTTTTTTTATTTTTATTTATACGTGTCTTGACTTTTGTCATATTGTCCTTCTAGCTCAGATTGTGATGGACCTGGAATGCGACACCAGTTACTCCTAAGTCAAGAACCAAATAAAGCACAGATGTGGAGGGATCTGCAGCTAAACTAACTGGAGGAAAGGAACCGTTAGGTAAAAACACCTGCTTTATTTAGATCTGAAGTATTTTATTTGGCATAGAGTATTATTTTTTTATTCTTATTCTAATTTTATTTTATGTATATATTGAATAGAAGCAATTTAATTTGTACAATAAATGATTGAATATAAAATATCATCTACATGTCTTATTTATTATTGTCTTAAACAGGGGTGCTCAACCCTGTTACTGGAGATCGACCCTGATCAAACATAACTAAACCAACTAAATAGTATCTGAAGGAGAACTTGGTAATTAAAGACTGGTGTGTTTGATCAAGGTTCCAGGTGAGCTCTGCGGAAACGTAGATCTCCAGGAACAGGGTTGAGCACCCCTGATCTAAATGCTCAAAAATGCTGTTTCCAAGGCAAGGTTGGATGTAGTTCAGAAATAGATTCATTAGGATCAATGCTTAAAGTAAACGTTTACTTCTCTCTGTAGACCAAACATGTTTAGTATCCCACACATTTTAATAAATTATTTATTTTGGTTACTTTTACATCTATATATGGGTAAGCAAGTATTTAATAAATAAAATTATTTTAAACCACTTGACTTAACCAATTGACTCTGTTACACTAGCTGCTGGAAAAAAAAAAACATGTAAAATAACAGATTTTTTTTTATTTACAGTGTGGGTGAACATACTACCTTGATGTCCAACAAAGGCTGCACAAGAGCTCATTTGATGGCACATATTCTGTCCTGTCTACATCTCTGACGACCTGGAAGTGCTTCAACATCAGTGAGTAATAAATCTTCATATTATCATGCATTCAGGATTTATTTGAGCCTATCTTTAATGTTAGTTTGTAATCAGCAGTGACTGTTTTAAAAAAAATAGGTATTTAAATTATTCTTAAGGTTTTACTGATGCTGTGCACAGTAACGTCATGATGATTTAATTTGAGGAAATGTCACTGGAGAGGTGTTCGTAAAAAAAAAAAAAAAAAAAAAAAAAAAAATTGAACAAAATAACTCTAAAAGATTTATTTGTCTCACTGACATGCCATCACTGCATATTGAAATACAATAACATTGTCACATTAAAATAGATTATTTTATTTATTTATTTATTTTAAATATGTAGCCTCTTAAGGTCAGAATAAACTGTGTTCACCCCTCTTAAATCCGTGGAAGCGCTAGTAGTGATCATGGAATCAGATATTCAAGCTATACAGAGTCAGATATTAAGTTAAGATGAGACTTTATTTTTTATATACCTGTGTGGATACTTGACTAGTTTTGACTTGACTGATCTTTTCCCCATTAACGTTAGTGTAATTGTAAATTGACAACAAACTATTTCGCCAACAAAAACGATAAAAAACAGTGTTTTATATATATATATATATATAAAACAGCAGTGCGGTGTTTGGTTTTTGAATGAATTAAATAATTTGAGGCATGATTAGTTTTTACTCCAGTGATTGATTTTGCTTGTCGTTTTTGCAGGATCATCATCATGCTGCTGCCCTTTTTTCACTGTCCCTTTTCCACAACAGCATTTGGCCTTCATCATTTCCTGTCTTGTAGCAGTATTTTCACTTGTTTTTAAAATTGTAATAATTTTTGATGCATTTATTGTTGACTGGTTTTAATTATCAATTGTTCATTAGTGTTCTGTTGCTCTGTTATATTGAATAATTGCTATTGTTTCAGTATGGTTTACACAATAAACTTTTATTGTGAAGTTAAAGTTTCAGTTTCTTTATTTTTCTTGTATTTCTTGAACAGTTAAAATATCACTGTGCAATTTTTTTTTACATTTTTACTCATTATAAAGTAGCACTAATAAATACAATAAAATAACTATACAGTATAAAATACACTATAAAATACTATACAGTAATAATGAAAGTAACGTTAAAATACCGTAGTTCTGCATGGTAAAAATGTACAGTAAAATACTTTTCAGTTTTGCAGTATGTGTATCACTACTGTAATTGGTGTTACAGTAAAAAAAGAAAACAGTAAAATGATGTATTACATTTGACAGTAAATGTAATACTAATGTAATTAGTATTACAGTAATGTTACTGTTTTATGAAATACAGCAGCTACTGGATAATTGTTGCCAGTAACTTACTGTTAATTTAACAAGAAATCATTTACAGTGTAATTATCCTAACCTGCCTATATAACCTAGTTAAGCCTTTAAATGTCACTACAAGCTGTATAAAAGTGTCTTGTAAAATATTCTAGTAATACTCTAGTAAAATATTATTTACTGTCATCATGGGAAAGATAAAATAAATCTGTTTTTAGAAATAAGTTATTAAGCTATTATGTTAAGAAATGTGTTGAAAATAACTTATCTCTGTTAAACAGAAATTAGAGGGAAAATATAAACAATGGGCTAATAATTCAACTGTAAAAATCACTTTCCGGAACATTTTCTTTGCTGGTAGATTTAACTCCATCTAAAATGCTAAGTGACAAAAAAAAAAAAAAAAAAGCTCTAGCTTTTTTGAGCAATGTCTAAAACTTCTCAACTCATTTAGTATGTATATTTGAACAAAAGTGTCTTTCAAATGAATAAATGTAAATGATCCGTCATATTTTTCTCCTGTCAATATTATTCAGATTAACGGTAGGCTAATATAGATTCATGAAGAGCCAAGGATGCATATTTAATCACATGTCTTTTTACATGCTGGAAAATCAACCAGCATTGTGCGTTCTGACATTTCAAGGTTAAATCTGACAGCTTGACTAACACTAAAATTAATAATCAGCTTGTTGACTCTGGTGCAAAGCTATGTCAGATGGCACTCTTTGACCTGAGCAATCTAACATCATGGTCCCGAGGCTCTATACGTCCTACTCTTCAATGTACACAATTTGCCCTGAATAACAGCTGGCACTGCAGCTGCTCATTGGCTAACATAAATGCATATCTCAGCACCTACATGTCATTCTGTCTCAATCAAGATTAGTTTGCACTACAGTATGGCTTTAGGGGTTCAGGTTTCTGTTTTACCCACTCAGGAGTTAAACATGCATTCTTTGCTTCCGTAGACGGTCAGCAGTCAGCATTGATTTGCTTGAAGGCTAAGCTTTGACATTTTGCTAGCATAAACAGCATAAACTGTCTGCATAAAGTGAAATACGCACTTCTGGTGGACATCTTTTGGGAACTTTTGCTTTACAGACATACTTTGCTGAGTGTGTGGAAATGGAACACTTAACCGGTCAGTATGGAGACACATAAATGGATTAGATAGCAGCTTGCTAGGAAACACATCACAGCTACATGTCATAGGTTCTTGTTTATGTCATGGCGGACATGCTGCATTAGACCATTAAACATGATCAAAGGTCTTCTCATCGGAGTGTGAAATGTTCCTGTGAACATTGAGAGAACATACATTACATTAACACCTTAAATTCGGTCACATCTGTTGACATGGCACTAAATTCTATTGTACTAATGGGAGACCCTTTACAATCCGTCGTAAAAGACAATATCTCTCCATTTGTCATAGGTGTTTTATACACCATTAGTGCTACATTGTCCTCCATCTCTGCAAAATATTAATATAATACACATATAGATTCCTTTAAGCATTTTTCAGAGATTTTAATCCACTTTGACGTCATAGTGCCACAAAATGGCTTCAGATGTAGCTGCACATCCATGCTGTGAATCTCCTGTTCCCAAACATCCCAACGGTGCTCTATTGGACTGATCTGAAGACTGAGGAGGGTCAGTTGAGCATACATATAGTGAACTCACTGTCATGTTCAAGAAACCAATCTAAGGTCATTCAGGCTTTGTAAAAAATTGCATGATATCCTGCCATTTTTGGATACGCTTGATTGACCTAGCCAACAACAATACTCAGGTAGGCTGTGAATAGGGAGAGTTCATCCAAATATGAACATTTAGTCACCATTAACTCACCCTCAAGAAGTTTGATACATTTATAATTTCCTTTATCTACTAAACACATACAAAAAATATATTTTAAAGAATTTTAGGATCCTGTAACCACTGGAATCGTAGGAATTACAATTATTATGGAAATCAATTTATATTTTTCCTACATTTTGTAAAAACATAAAGAATGAGTAAATGATGAAAGGATTTTCAGCTTTGGTTGAACTATCCGTTTAAATCAGTGGTTCTCAACCACGCTCCCGGAGGACCCCAACAAGTTTGTCATGTCTCATTAGTCAAACACACCTGATTCAACTCATCAGTTCATTAGCAGAGACTCCAGGACCTGGAATGTTTCTGTGAGCCAATAGAGACATGGAAAATGTGCAGTCCATAGGGACTACAAAACATGGTTGAGAACTAGTGCTTTATATAATGCTCAGCTGGTACTAAGGGGCCTAAATGTGTCAAAGAAAATACACCCCACACCATAATACACTGCACAGAAGCTTTTTTTGCTCTGCAGTCATAAACCATCCCAATGTTGGGAGAAATCATTCATTCATTTTCTTTTAGGCTTAGTCCCTTTATTAATCTGGGGTCGCGACAGCAACTTATCGAGTATATGATTTACGCAGGATGCCCTTACAGCTGCAACCCAACACTGGGAAACATCCATACACTTCATGCATTCACACTCATACACTAATTTAGCGTATTCAATTTACCTATACCACATGTCTTTGGACTGTGGGGGAAACCGGAGCACCAGGAGGGAACCCACGCAAACTCAGAAATGTCAGCTGACTCAGCCGGGCTTGAACCAGTGACCATCTTGCTGTGAGGCGATTGTGCTACCCACTATGCTACCGTGACATCCCATTTACCAAAGGCAACATATGCCAAATAATCTTTAGTCCAGTTTTGGAGAGCGTGTGTAAATTGTATTTTCAATTTACTGTTCTTTGTTGACAGCAGTGTCACCAGCGTTTTCTTCAGTTGTTGTAACTCATCTGCTTCAAAGTTTGACATTTTGTTTTCCACAGACCTCGGGTATAACAAGTGGTTATTTAAGTTAATGTTGTCCTCTTATTTTTTCTAATCAGTCTGGTTTATTTGATATTTTCTGCTAACACTTGATATGGTTGTTTAAAAAAAATCTCAGTATTTCATCAGTTTCTGAAATATTGACACTGGCCCAAATTCATTTGAAGGCACAGTATCTATTTTTTGCCTTTAGAGGGCATGTATTCACAACAATTAAAGGCATAGTTTGATGACATACATTAGTTTGTGATCTTCATTACATCCTACAAGAATCCTGCAGAAACCTTCTGGTTCTTTTCCTTGTGATCACATGGAGAAGCATCAGCACTGTTTCATCATCCTAAATACATTTTAAGGTTTTGTTATAAAGCTGCTCTGTGCAGTCTAATAAAATGCACAATGTATTGAAGCATCTTTGGTTTCTATCTTTATTTCCCTGTTTTCTATCAAACCAAAACAGAAATTGAGGGTGTGTGATGTCATTAGCATGGTGACCCAAAATACATTCTGGTTAAAATAGCTTATTTCTTCAGATACGATAATTCTTCAAAACATTGGGATATGTCAGCAAAATATATAACTTTTCTAGTGGTTTTTACATATTTTAAAAGAAAAAATCTTACATATTGTACCTTTAATATTTGTTGCCCATTCTTATGCTCAGTTTAAACCTCAGCATATTATCTTGTCCACCTCTACACGCCTAAATGCATTGAGTTGAACAGAGTTGTACATAATTGTGATTAATGAGCGCTTAGCTAGTTTATGAAAGGATAACTACATTTCGCATTATTCTCACAGTTACACACCTAATGTACTTCCTTGGCTCCATATTCTGCTGCGAAAAGCTTGCTGCCATGTCAGGGAAGTGTAAACGGAAAAAGAAATATTAACAAGTTTATATTCACATTTTGATCTATGAAAATCACGATTTCTGAACTTGTAAACAAAACCGTCTCCGGAGGACTTGTACGCAGCATGTCATCACACCATGAGTGGTTAAAAATTTAAAGGTGGACACCATGGGTCCGTGCTTACACAACATAAATGCAAGGGTCTCACAGAGTGTGGTAAATGCAAACAGAAAATCAAGAAATTATCCAGCAGCTCGGGACCAGCAGATTCAGGGAAAGATGTGTTAATGTGTGCATGTGTGCGTGTTGTGTTGATCCCTGTTAAATGCTACTTATCATTCAAGCCTCACCTACCCTGAAAGCTTAGCAATGCTTGAAAACAGTGTGAGGTGAATTATTAAATATCAAGTTTTCACCATCAAGGACAAAAATGTTGGCCTTGAGAATATGGAGAGAAAGTTACTGACATAAAGACCTCTTCAGATACTTCAACCCTCTGCAGTGCAGTTCAGTTTGACGAGCCTTTTTTATCCATCTTTTTATCCATCCATGCATAGCTGTGATTTTTCCACAATTCCTCTAACTACAGTACATAAAACCAGTACATACATATAGCTTTTGCATGAAAAGAAATGCAAAAAATATTCTTGATAAGAGTTTTAGAAAAATCTTATCAAAATTTGTACTAATGTTCAATAAACTGTAGTATTCCATTAATTTATATACATATATAGTAATATTTAAACATTGACTTTGCAGTCTAGACTGGAAAAATATAGAGTATAAAATACAAAATATAAAGGTAAATATTTAAAGTGCTGGTACATGAAGTGATGACACCAAACATGGAGTTAAATAGACAGTTTACCCCAAAATGAACATGTTGGGCCCTATCTTACAGCTGGCGCAACAAGTCGCGAGACATTTGTTGCTATTTTCAGACCAGCGCAACCCTAATTTTCACATTTTGCACTACGTTGTTTCAATAGCAAATCCATTTGCACCACTTTGTGGACTCATAGGTGTTCTGGTCCATAAAGGAGGTATGTTAAGGCACATTGTTGGTGCGTTGCTATTGCAATTAACCATATTGACATTTATGTCAATCAGAAAAACACCACAAACAATGTAACGTACAAAAGAGTAAATGTTTATTTAATTTAAGAACAGGGGCAAATTAAATGCGGGTACCGGGGCTAGAGATTTAGATGTCAAAGGCTACACACAATTATCAAGCTCATTCCTTTACACACATTGAGTTTAACACATTACTACAACAATGTTTCGAATAGCACCCAACACAATCCACACTGCACACAAAATTAAGGTGCATCCCCTGTAATCAAATGTCGCTCTCACTCACCTCACTAATCATCTTTCACACACATAGCAGCAAACTTAACATACAACAGGCATAAACACAAATAAAGGTTTAAAAAGACTCCCCTCCACAGCCTTTGAGACTCAGCCAAGGAGAGAAGCACCAGCGTCATCACACAGAGCAGGAAAGAGCGCACTTCCACAATCACACAGACCCGCTATATGATTCATTTGTCCGCAGTCATCGATGCCGACGGCGAGGGCTATGCATCCACACGTAGGCTGCGCCAAAGCATTCTGTGTGCACTTGACGCAGAAGTATAAATCAGACAGTGGTCAACTAAACTGTTCCTTTAAGATATATAATGTCATCAGTAAAACACTACTCCAACACATGATCTTTTACTTCGATATTGCTTTTGGCAAACATCTAAATGACTGAATATAAAACAAATCACAGTATCCTTCATTCTTTTTTTTACAAAAGTTACTTCTGCAACATGTGCTAACACAACAAAGGCAATGGCTTAAAAAGGTATGATGTGCCATAATACCTATGACAGTTACAAAATAATAATAAATCATAATAAATGAATAAATCATAATAAATGAATTAAACTAAAAGCAGACAGAGCAACATAGAGTAGGGTGAAGCTACAAGCCCAGAGACCTAACTGCACTCTCAGACCTGTTGGGTCAGGTAAAGCGGCAGGTTCGGAGACCTAACTGCAGAGAGAGTCCTCGCAGCAGCCTGCAGCTTGATGATGTACTGGACCAGGTACTCTACGTAATGGATTATCGCCTACGCTTCCCCCTACCCTAAACCCAACAGTCAGAGTAGCATGGGCGTTCCCTCAGTGGGCGATACAATGTCCACTATTTAGTGGAGCTGGTCCAGTACATCTTCATGGTTACAGACTGCATCTTGCAACTGCACGCTCAGACCAGCACTTTCTAGCAAGTAGCAACATTGGACACGTCACCCTAATGCTAACCCTAGCTATAGGTCTGGAAGTGCTGGTCTGAGCATGCAGTCAGGTCTCCGGGCTGGCAGCTTCATAGTGTTGGCAACATCAGATGAAGCCATTCAACTCAGAACAAAAATATGAAACATTTATTACAAATAAAGAGCATTATACTGCAAATTTGTCCATTCTTATTCAACAAGATGTGTTTAACTTCTACTGTGTTAAGACCAATCTTACATACAGTATTTGTGAAACGTATGTATCATATTGTACTTAACAGAAAAAAACCCTTCATGTCTGTTTATAATTTACAGCATAAATGTGCTTTAATGACATTTTAAAGAGCTCTTCTCACAGATCCATTGAAAAGAATAATGACACTTATAATCAGACCATTCTGATGAACGAGACACAGCACAGATCTCTCCTCCAGCTTCGTTGGGTTCTCCATGACTCCAGAGCCTGCTCAACAGATTGGCATTAGAGAGGTTCAGTGCTGCTGTTTTATATGATACTGACTGAGAGAATAATTTAATATATAATAATCTGATTAGGTTCTCACCCAGTGGTCATGTTGGTGCCATCGATCCACGTCCAACTCCTATTTTTACCACTGCCAGTCAGACCAATCCAGACAGCAATACGACCAGACAATTTATTAAGAATATCCTAAGATGATGCAATAATTTGCATTGTAGTCTGATAATGCCACATTTGTATAATCATTTTAAAAACACAAACACACAAATAGCTGAGTGTAGATGTGACATTTATTATTTCTCCATTGATGTGAATTTCTTTTTTTTATCCACTGAAGCTAAAGCTATACCGCTAGACCAATTCTCACTGAAATCTTAAAAACATACAAACACAGTATACTTCACTCACTTGTTCTTCACTGTTGTTTACAATGATGAGATCCGCTCCTCTGTCTGAACAGTATCTTCTGCTCTCAGACCAGCTCTTCTCTTCAGAGGAAATGAAGTAAAAACTGGACTGATAGTAAAACCATCCATCTGTAAACACAACATTCAACTTTTCACTGAACATCAAAACTTATTTAACAGATTGTACTCAAAGATGGTAAAGTTGTTGTTAGCCACTAAGGAATTTTGTGTTTAAGATATCTAATAAACATTTAAACTATGATTGGGCTGTAAGACTTCACATGCCATTCATTGTGTATTTGATGACTAGTCTCGTTTTGGGCTATTGCTTCTATTAGATTTTCACAGACAGCCCAAAATGAGCCTAGTTTTAGCCAAGACATCCATGTTTACATGTCTATTAGACATCTATTAGACTTCTTTTAAACACGGCTGGAAATGTTTGTATATTTGTGTTGTCATTTATATTTACCCTTATTTTTCTCCTGTAGCTGGTCTCTCTCTTTTGTGAGATTGGTAATGTTGGTCAGTATCTTGTTTCTTTCTTCTGTGAGGTTGGTAATCTTGTTAAGCATCTTGCTTTTCTCTTCTGTGAGGTTGGTAATCTTGTTAAGCATCTTGCTTTTCTCTTCTGTGAGGTTGGTAATCTTGTTAAGCATCTTGTTTTTCTCTTCTGTGAGGTTGGTAATCTTGTTAAGTATCTTGCTTTTCTCTTCTGTGAGGTTGGTAATCTTGTTAAGCATCTTGCTTTTCTCTTCTGTGAGGTTGGTAATCTTGTTAAGTATCTTGCTTTTCTCTTCTGTGAGGTTGGTATTCTTGTTAAGCATCTTGCTTTTCTCTTCTGTGAGGTTGGTAATCTTGTTAAGCATCTTGCTTTTCTCTTCTGTGAGGTTGGTAATCTTGTTAAGCATCTTGCTTTTCTCTTCTGTGAGGTTGGTAATCTTGTTAAGCATCTTGCTTTTCTCTTCTGTGAGGTTGGTAATCTTGTTAAGTATCTTGCTTTTCTCTTCTGTGAGGTTGGTAATCTTGTTAAGCATCTTGCTTTTCTCTTCTGTGAGGTTGGTAATCTTGTTAAGCATCTTGCTTTTCTCTTCTGTGAGGTTGGTAATCTTGTTAAGTATCTTGCTTTTCTCTTCTGTGAGGTTGGTAATGTTGGTCAGAAACGGGCTCATCTCTTGTGTGTTGTTTGTTTTGTTTGAATAGATGTAGAAGCAAAACAGTACTATGGCAATCATTTGAAAAACACACAACAGCCCTAAACACACTGTAGCTCTGGAGCTTCTGATCCTCTTTGAATCACTTCCTAAAGAACACAGACATGTGGTTAAATGGCTGAATGATCAAACTGTTATGTTGTGGTATCAAAGAAATGACAGTGATTACCTGTTTGCTGAAGTGGTTGTGGTTTGTTCGTCCTAAAGCCCTGATAATTTACACAATCTACACTCTCATAGATATCCACCATCATCTCCACTCGCTCTGTTCCCTGCGACCCAATGCTGATCACATCATCATAAATATTATCAGACATGTCTGCTCTTTAACAGTCCAACACTATTATTCTTTGACAAATATGTAGTTCAGCTCTGCTCTTTATTATCGCCTGTGCTTAAAGTAAGTAATCACAACGGATATAAGACTAAACCAGTCAAATTGAGAAATCATGTGACATTAAGCTATTAAAAGTGGTCTAGACTATAAGCTATTTCTGAGAAACCGCTGTTGATATTTTGGAAATGATTAGACACAACCTTTAGCCTAAATGCAAACGAACAGACTCTGTGGGGGAACATTGCAGAATATTTACAAGCAAGATTCAGATGTCTATCACAATCAAGCTCCAAACAATAACACTCAAAACTATATTAAATGTATGGTGGCACAGTGGCTCAGTGGTTAACATTATTACCTCACAGCAAGAAGGTCACTGGTTCGAGTCCTGGAATTTCTGTATGGAGTTTGCATGTTGGGCCATAAGTGAATTGTATAAACTAAATTGGCTGTAGTGTATTAGTGTGTGTGAATGTGAGAGTGTATGGGTGGTTCCCAGTAATGGGTTGCAGATGCAAGGGCATCTGCTGTGTAAAACATATGCCAGAATAGTTGGTGGTTTATTCCACTGTGGCAACTTCTGATAAATTAAAGATTAAGCTGAAGAAATGTGAATGAATGACAGAGCGTCGGTCATAACAGATCCATCTTTGCAACTCTTAAGAAGCAAAATGATTGGTCTGTTCAGGAAACTGAATACATTTCTAACATAATCGCTTTGGTCATCTAAAATTCTTTTTAGATGTAACTGTAATTTGATACTAAGCACAGGTGAGTTTAAGAAATCAGACGTTCTGAACAATAGGCTACTGTAGGTATGGGTACATAAGGAAAATGTGTCAGTGACCATTTAGCTGTTTTATGCTAGGCTAAAAGCTAACAGTTGCTTGGATTGTTGAAATATTTCTGACGAAGCAGTGACAGATTGAGTGAATGTGATACAAATGTAAAAAAAGGGCATTGTACTAAAGGAATGAAAGGGAATGAAGTGTACAGTGATGCTTTTCAGAAGTGATAAACCACACAGCACTGGCTGAAGTAAATGCTGAAGTGTCAGTTTCTGCTCAAAGAGAGGCTGAATAGATATAGATACTGAAACAATGTGGGACTAAATTGAGAATGATCTTTCACTTAATAATAACAACAGACATGAAGTTCAGAAAGTGTCTTTCTTACCAGTAAAACAGACAAAGACCACCTGTAAAATGTTCAAATATTTTGATCTTTGACAGGGACAATTTTAGGGGTTCAGCTCCTTATAAGGTAAATAAATAAATAAATAAAAATAAACAATCAAACATTTATTTATTTGTTTGTTTGGTAGGGTTGTATACTAGTATTCCACTGTATTACATAGACAGGCACAGCCATTTGAGTTCTGAGTAAGCCAAAGAAGCTCAACCCACCAGTTCACTACAATAAAAAACACTTTCTGTATTCAAGTGCATTTTTGTTTGTAATGATACAAAGTCAAATGGATCCAAGTGCAATTGAAAATTTATTAACAATAAATAGTTCAACAGTGTAGAAAGGGTCCATAAATAGTCGCAGAAGCACTTTCTAGCTGAGCACACGAAATGCGTGTGTCGTTTATTGCCAACAACAAACTCTCTGAAACTTCCATCAAAAACCCGTCATCAAAACACACAGGTCCTTAAAGGGCAAAAAAGATTATCACAACACTAAGGTCCTTAAAGGGTAAAGGAAATCTACAGCTAAACACTGAGCAACATAAAGCATTGTGATTACAAAGACCATACAATTAAGTCAGGAAAATACTGACGACAAATGCTTCCTGAAAGAACAGAATAAGATGACCTATGTAAGCTATGGTGAATTATGTATAACTGTATCACCACAACAGCAATGCTAACAGTGTGCGATAGAGAGATCATGAATATGTGTAATGAACTGACAATGATGACTTTGCTTTCCTATCAGCTGGAACTGCTGATTAGTTTAACTGATCATGTGATGTAAAAAAAAACACACAAAATATTTTTCTCAAAATAATATTTTTACTTTAAACCAGCAATTTTTCATGTAATGTGACCACATGGAGTAGTATAAACACAAAGAGCTCTCTTTAATGATCTAGGCGCAAAGTCTAAAGTGCAGGTTGCAAAAGGATTAAGTGTGTGTCCACTTTTGCTACTTTAAGAATGGAAAAATACGCTCTGCGCCACGGCCCATGGTTTAACATTGTTGTGCTTATTCTCTAGATGCGTTATGGGTATGTTTTGAGAATAAACCAATCAGGGTCTCATATCGCATTCTCTATAAAAGTCCGTTGCGTCGTGCCATGGCACATTTGCAATTTACATGGCTGACTTTGTAAGTGGAAAAACTGAGCGCTTCACTAGCGAGAAAACAGTTAAACACACCATCTGCAGCGCGAGGATAAAGAACAAGCCTCCTCCAATTGGCCTTTACCTTCAGTTTCTCTATTTTATGGATAAGGAAACACATTGTTCGCACTCCAATGAAGACATCCATTAGCTTACACAGTAATTAATTTTATTTAAGTGCAAAGATTTGTTTTAAAACTATTTATAAATTTAGCTCTAATTTCCAGCCAATGAATAATTGAGCAATAAAAATGAAGCGTGGTAAAAAAAAAAAAAAGAATTATATCCAAACACTCATGCTATGCCCCATATTGTCCAAAACCTGACAGGTGGACAACTCTAAGCTTGTTTTTATTAAAACAAATATAAATATGCATATAATAAATACTACTACTAGTAATAATTAAACATTAAACAAAAGCAAGTTGTCATGAATAAACTGAAAAAAAGCACCCCGACATAAAGGCATGGAGGCAGTGGCTTTTATATTTACTTAGAAAACGGTGCACAACTAACATACTCTGCGCAGGACTTCAGACCTGCTTTCAGCTGGTCTATTGCACTCTAGACCGGAACACCCATGAGTCCACAAAGTGGCACACATTGATATGCTATTTAAACAACGTGGTGGAAAATGGGGAAATTAATGTTGCGCTAGTTTCAAAATAGCAACACGCTGGGGCAAACACGTCTTGCCCCTTATTGCGCCCGGTGTATGATAGGGCCCAATAAGTCTAATTTTTAACATTTTCTGACATTAAAATAGGATCCAAATCCCATCGTTATCTGCGTAGGACTGCAGTTTTCCTCACCTACCAAATTGATTGACAGCCACATATTAACACATCTCCATAGTAGCGCGTATACACGAGTCCACAAAACAGGAGTTGCAAAGAACTAAATTAAAAGATCTGTTCCACCTCTCTGTGATCGGCTGCACCTCAGCTTTAACAACTTAAAAACATTTTTACAACTTTAAAACGTTCAAAGCAGAGCATGTTTGTAATAAAGAAAAGACATAGAAAAAATGTGCAAGAAAAAAAATGTGTGTGTGAGTACTGTGAACTTTGTCATGGCACTTGTGTTTGCATCAGTGAATGGCAAAGTTTTAATAAACTCCAGCACAAATACATCAAATAAACATACTTGCTATATTTGACTCATGAACTTATGAAATGAATCCTGGATCTGCTTAATTTATGTCTGTCTCTGTGCTGTTTATCTGACTTGACACAGTATAAGCTGACCCACAGATGGGAACAGTGGGCAGGGTGAACAAGCTCATTTGCATTAAAGGCACAGGCTACAAACACAGCTACACATATTCTGGAAACTATAATAAATGCTCTGATGGGTGTTTTGAGCTGAAAATTTACAGACACATTCTGGAGACACGAAAGACGTATCTTACATTTTATAAAGAGGCTAAAGTAGAAGTATCTGATTAAGAAAAGCTAGTCTATAGTGATGAATGTTTATGGGATGAACTAGCTTCAATAGTAATTTTATTATTGCTACATCTAGTTATTATATATAGCTGATACAAATATGTATAATCATAACCAGTTATGATTGATGATTCATTTTTGCCTATGAGCTAAATTTGTCAGGGGATGCAGTAAGTGTGTGTGTGCTGGTTTTTTGCTGGTGATGATGTTAATTGGCTGTTTAATAGTCCTGTGTAAAGTATTTGGTGCTGCTAAATGAGGGTGAAGCTTGGTGATTCCATCACAATTAATAAAACAGATCTAATTGTCATTGTGTAAATAAAATTGTTTTGAATATAATGTTAATAAGACACATTGTGTGTCTGAATATTAAGAGAAGAAAGGTGGTAATTTACAGCATGAACAAAAATACAACTTAATGACTTTTTAAAATGCTATTTTCTCACAGATCCACTTAAATTTAGCATTACATGGATAATCGGCCCATCCTGAAGAATGAGATGCAGCACAATTCTCTCCTCTATGTCCATTGGGTTCAAAGAGTCTCCAAAACCTGAAACTACAGATCAGCATTAGATGTTCATTTCTGATTTCTGTGTGATATTATTCTGACTGGGAGAATTATTTAGTAGAAGAAGAATAATCTCAGCAATTTTTCACCTAGTGGTCATGTTGGTGCCGTCAACCCATTTCCAACTGCCCTCTTTAGCGCTGTCAGTCAGACCAATCCAGACAAAAGCACCACCAGATGTTTTCTTAACAAAATCCTAAAATGTTTACAAAATGACATTTTAATCTGCCATTATTTAGCTGCCACCACACATACTTTATTTATTGTCTATAAAAGTATATGAAGCTCCTGATAATTATGTAAATTCCATCTGCTCTTTTCATCACTGTCAGTCCGACTAATCCAGACTGTAACACCACCTGATATTTTATTTTTAAATAATACTAAGAAGAAGAACCAATTTTATGAAATTGGCTTTGTGTAGCACCCCCACTGTCCAGTTGCAGTACTGCAGTAAAACTCTATGTGATACAAATAATGAGACGGTCAAAGATGAATTGTTCTTCAAAGTCGAGCTGTTCAAGGTTAAACATGACTAACTGCTGTATACAGGGTGTACAGTAACACTTGTAATTCCATGCGAAGCAAAGAAAATAACAACAGTCAAATTTAGTAAGATTAATAGGTGATTTTCTACACAAACACACACACACGCACGCACACACACACACACACACACACACACACACACACACACACACACACACACACACACACACACACACACACACACACACACTTCACTCACTTGTTCCTCTCTGTTGTTTATAATGGTCAGATCTGCTTTTCTGTCGGTACAGTATCTTCTGCTCTCAGACCAGCTCTTCTCCTCAGAGGAAATGAAGTAAAAACTGGACTGATAGTAAAACCATCCATCTGTAAACACAACAATTTTAGCATTTGGTTCCCTTCAATCTTAACGGTAACACTTTACAATAACAGAACTGCCAACATAAATATTGATGTGTTAATTCCTAAACTAAACATGACTTTATTATAAACTGATGTATAAATGTAAAAGTATGTGCTAATCGTAAACTAACTTTAACTACAACATGAGTCAAAAAGCTACCTTAATCACATGTTAGTACACGCTTGTTTGTTAATTAATGTAGCCTATTAATTACCACATTAGTTTATGTTTAATTTGACCATCATGTTAATGAACGTAATGATATCATGACTTTACTTGGAGGGACATAATTTCTTAACTACTCATGAACTCTTTATGCACGTTCATCTAGTGCGTTTACACTGAATAACAATAGAAAAGTGTTAAGTCGATATCAACAGTTTAAACAGGAGTTCAAGAGTATTTAAGGATGAGTTGATGACGATGTGCCCCTTCAAGTAAAGTCACGACACAATTACACATTAGCAGCTCATGAGTTCATGCTGGTTATATTTATCTTAAACTTCAATGTTAATTAATACATTAAGTAACAGTATGTAGTAACAATTATTAAGGTAGCCATTATTTACTCATGAACTTTTGTGACTCAGGTTGCAGTTAAAGTTAGTTCATGATACTCATCATTAATGTATAATAAAATAATGGTTAGTTTACAAATTAATACATCATTATCAGTGGTGTAAAGTAACTACAAATACTGAAGTTACTGTAATTGAGTAGTTTTTCTCAGAAATTGTAATTTATTAAGTAGTTTTAAAAATGTGTACTTATACTTTTCCTTCAGTACATTTTTAGTGCAGTATCTGTACTTTTACTCCACTACTTTTCTTCAACCTGCAGTCACTACTTTATTTTTTCTTGTTTATGGAAATTAGAAAAGTCAATCCTGTAATTCTTGTCCAATCTAATCACGTATAGAAAGTAAATTGCATCATAATGAACTACTTCAAGACGTGTGCACTTTACATTGCAGCAAACTGTTTGGAAGCATTAAGTGTCCAAGAAGATGTTCAAAATCTTTACACGCATTGACCCAGAGACTCTATAGATCAGGGATGTCCAAACACAGGCTGATTCTCAATTCAAAGATTGCAGAGAACGGACTTGCGTTCTTGTGGAGACCGGTCTTGCCAGGTGTCCTCGGAAGAACAAACTCAGGAGACAACGAGGGCAGAGAATGCATCCTTTGAGAAATGGGATGCTGCGTTCTTCCTGATGGTCACATGACCTTCACGTGTTTTAAAAGGTAAATTATTTAAACATTACAGCATTTATACGATTTATTGTTTTCCCCCTTTTCAAAATATATACTTTGCATAAAAACATTATCATAATACTCTGCACAATATAAATAAAACTGATTTCATTTCATGTTCATGGTAATGTTTACTTTCACCGTTTCATTTAGGGAAACTCCTGAGGTAAATAAGTTCAATCTCTGAACTTTAATAATAAAACTAGATAAAACGCTGCGCTTCCCACCTCCAGTCACAATGACATCTGGGACTTTCAACGTCCAACCTAAAACCAACCAAATATCATTGTCTAATGATGTTATAGCTTGACGTTGTGTCAACGTTACCACTGTAACATCTATCAGAGGTTGAATTTTAGTTGCCATAACTGATGAAAAAATGTCAGTATTTGAAGTCAATAGGATTTTGGTTTAAGATGTTGGCTTGACATTGGATTTTGGTCACTTTCTAACAACCTAAAATCAACCAAATATCAACGTCATTTGATGTCATTATTGGACATCAAAACAATGTTGTCCCTAGACGCTGGCTAGAAATTGAATTTTGGTCACCTGACATCACAACCTAAATCTAACCTTATATTAACGTTTTGTGACATTGTGTGCCTGCTGGGCAATAACTAAATGCACTACAGAATGTTACGTTTACACAAATCCACAAATTACATGTAAATGCATCAACTTTTAACAGCATAATACTCACTGCTTACTGCTCATGAGTACTTTTAAAAGGGCTACTTTTTACTCAAACTTTGATTAATATTTACAACAGGTTCTTTTACTCTAATCACACTACATTTTTAGGCAAGTAATGGTACTTTTACTTAAGTATGCTTTTTCAGTACTCTTTCCACCACTGATCATTATTCATGTACTGTTATTATATTGTTACCATTTTAACATATTTATGCTAACAGTTTGTAACCAAATCAAATATATTTGATGTGTTTAATATGTGATTAGTTCATAATTACCCTGTTCATAAAGAAACTTCAGGTAATTTTTCTCCTGCTGTAACTGATCTTTTTGTTTCATTAAAGAATCCTTCTCAGATGATAATCTCTTCTCTAACTGATCTTTCTCTGAACTGAAATCTTTGACCCTAGTTAGTAGCAGGTCTCTCTCTTCTGTTATATTGACAATGTTAGATAGTAGCTGATCTCTCTCTTCTGTAATATTGACCATGTTAGTTAGTAGCTGATCTCTTTCTTCTGTTATATTGACCATGTTAGTTAGTAGCTGATCTCTCTCTTCTGTTATATTGGCAATGTTAGTTAGTAGCTGGTCTCTCTCTTCTGTTATATTGACAATGTTAGATAGTAGCTGATCTCTCTCTTCTGTTATATTGACAATGTTAGTTAGTAGCTGGTCTCTCTCTTCCAAGAGGCTGGTTATGTTGATTATTAGCTGGTCTTTCTCTTCTGTGAGAATAGTAGTACTCGTCTCTCGTGTGTAGTTTGTGTAGATGTAGACACTCAGCACTATGACTGCAGTCAGCAGAAGGAAACACAGCAGCACCAAACACACTGGAGTTGGTCTGGGACTTGTCTTTAATGAACCACTCCCTGATAAAAATCAACATGATATGTCTTAACATGCAACTGCAAACTTTGCCATTTTTATTTGAATTAATGCTCTAGATAAACTAAATACTAAATGATTAAATTCCTGAATGAATATGATTACCTGTTTGTTTAAGTGGTTGTTGTGTGTTTGTCCTGAAGTCCTGATCACTGATAACGTCTGCACTTTCATAAATATCCACCATCATCTCCACATGCTCGCTGTCCCTTCCCCCAGACTCGATGCCGAACACATCTTCATAAACATTATTAGACATTTCTACTCTTTTAAAGGCTAATAACCTTAAACTGCAAATACTGAATATTCTTTGTGTGCCTTTAGGTTATGCACCTTTAGCACCAACAGTGGAACAGAGGAAATGAGAGTCTAAATGTGTCAAATTTAAGTCATGTGACATCTCATCTTTAGATGCTTTAATAAATGGGCCAAAGGACACATTTTTACTTCCTGAACAAATGCAAGACCCGAAGCTGAGCTCTGATCACCTTGTCGGAAATAGTCTTGTATATTTTAGTCCTCAATAGTCAGACACTATAAGATCTCAAAGAAACTTCTGTGTTTCAGAAGTGTCAGAATACACCGTAAAAAATGCAAAGCTACACACAATTCAAATTGATTAAGTTAACTAAACACTTTTAACAAATTTATGTGGATTGAACATTATAAAGAATGAAGTTGTCCCGATGAAATCTCAAGAATTGTGTTCTTTCAGTTTAAATAAGTAGTTTGAACAAGTAAAAATATATATTTTTGAGTGTATGGTAATGATACAAAGTCAAATGGATCCAAGTGCAAGTGTAAATGTATTAACAATTTAGAGTTCGACAGCAATGCTAACAGTGTGCGATAGCAGCATGGAGAATATAGAATCAGTCATGGAATCAGGAATTAAAACAAGAATTATTTTTCCATGTAATGTGACCACATAGTGTTATATAAACACAAAGGGCTCTCAATCAAGATGCAAAGTCTAATGTGCAGGGTGCAAAAGCATGAAGGGCGTGTCCGAATCCACTTTTGCTACTTTAGGGATGAAAAAATCCGCGCTGCAACGTGGCGCGTGGTCTAACAAGGTTGTGCTTATTCTCTTAATGAGTTATGGTTGTGTTTTAGAATAAACCAAGCAGAGTTTCATCTCACATTCCCTTTATAAGTTGTGTCCTGCCATAAAACATTTGCTATTTACATGGCAGACTTTGTAAGTGGAAAAACTGAATGCTTTACGAGCGAAAAACAGTTAAACAGAGCATCTGCAGCACAACCAACGGCACGGCCTTTACTTTATCTTTCACTTTGTCTCTTTTGTGGATAAGGAAAGGTGTTGTACGCACTCAACTGAAGACATTTATTAGCTTACATACAGTAATTAATTTGAAGTGCAATGATTTGTTTTAAAACTGTTTCTAAATCCAGTTCTAATTTCCAGCAAATGAATAAGTGAAGTTTCTCAAACTAATTTCGAGAGGAGCACGTAATTGGATTGACTACAGCTGATCCCTATCACTAATTACTAACTAGCCAATCGGATCACTCTAAATTCAATATAAATATCCAGCCCTTCACTATGACGGCAAATCAATGCCAATATTAATCGAGCGCAGCGGTGATGTTTGCGCGCGAGGAGAAGTGAACCGTGAGCAGATTACAGGTCTACACGCGAGAAAATATGGAAGGCCGTTAGGGCCAAAACGTCTGCAACAAACGTGTTAACGCGTAATTGCGTGTTAACACGTAATTTACGCGTTAACACGTAATTTACGCGTTAACACGTTGGTACGTGTTAACACGTCATTTACGTGTTAACACGCAATTTACGTGTTAACACGTCTTTTTTTTAAACTAGTCTCATTTTAAAGTGCTATCATTTATTCATTCTTGAAACTGCTTATTTTAAAATGTATAATGTCATTTCACTAAAATCACAATAAATGTTTTGCAGTCAATGATCTGTAGCAGATATTTAGTATTATGAAAGGCCAGACATCTTCTGTTATGTTATGTTTGATGGCATAATAATGTATATTAATAATGTTTGTTATTCAGCTGCTGAGATTTCTTTAAAAAATGTGTCCAGAGAAATCAGAATGAGATTTATTTGACAAGTGTGTGCAAACACAAGAAATGTTTTGTGTTTTTTTTTTCAGGAGCACATATACATACAGTACACACATACAAATGAACACAGGAAAAAAGAATGGCATAAGTGGATAAAGTAAATAATACAACATTTTGGTTACAAATCATAAATAGTAAGGGTTGTGTATATTTATGACTATAAAAACAGGTGGCAACCAATCTAATAATAAAGATCGATAAAGATGTGTAGAGATCTGGATGTTGGGCAGGTGCACAGAATTAATCCTCTCCGCTGTCCTGACAATCCGCTGCAGTCTTATGTCTGATTTGGTGGCTGATCCAAACCAGACAGTAAATGAAGTTTTGTCAGATGAAGTGGCTGCAGATTCTACATTCTCATACCGTATATAACATGTCATAAATTACTAAACTATATATATATATATATATATATATATATATATATATATATATATATATATACATATATATGTTTGCAGAACTTTGCACTAGATATTTTTATATATTTTTTTATAGCTGGAAGCTCCAATCACCAAGACAAAACATTACTTTGTGCAAACGATGTAAGGTAAGCAAAGCCAAAATTATAATTTACTAAATCAAAAGTACAAGATAAAGTCAAAATAATGATTTAATAACTCAAATTTATGACTGAATAATTCTGTAGAAATTACATTACAACAATAGGCGGTAAAAAAACAATCATCTAAATATGTAATATAATTCTAAAGATGATTAATCTAATAAAAGATGTTTTTTTTTTTTAAGAGAGTTATTTAATCATTAACTGAAACTTATGGGAAAATAGGATTTTTATATTATAAAACATGATATAGTTAAAAAGTATTACATAATTGAACATTCATATACATATTTGTAATTATAATGTGTGTGTGTACATGTATGTATGTATGTATGTATGTATATATATATATATATATATATATATATATAAATAAATATAAACGCACGCGCACACACACACCCCTTTGAACTTGTGGGGGAAACCAGAGCACCTGGAGGAAACCCAAGCCAACACGGGGAGCAGGGATGGGCAAAAATACACTGAACCACATTTTTAAATAAAATCCTAAATCCATCAATTTTACGTGTATCAATATAAACTACAAAATACAGCAGGCACAAATGTATCAAAGTAAAATACTATATATTTATTATTTTTAAAACATATTTAAAAATACATTTACAAGCGAGCAGAAAATTTCTTCGCCAACCCTCCACTAATAGGCATATTTGGTCAATTCCTTCACCATTACACTGATTATACTATGTGAACAATGTTTGACAGCAACAGTCTTGAAGATGATCTCTTTAAAAAAAGATTTAATGCAAATGAGTTAAACTAGATCTCATCATTGTGTTTCCATCCATTGAGTGGCCAAAAAAATTGACACCATCTCTTAACGGTCTTATATTTTAAAAAGGTGTTATATGAAGAGGTTTAGTAAAATATTGAATTAGAACTAAAATCCTGGTAATCACTTAAATTCTCAGCCCCAGAGTAAAGAGTCAACACATGGTTTGGAAAAAAAATAAACCATAGAATTAGTTTCTATATTTCTATTAAACTGTCAAACGGAGTGAGTATAGCCTGAACAAACAGAAAGCAGCTAACAAAGTTTAGAGGACAAGCTTACCTAATATAAAAAAAAAAAACAAAGATGAAAATCAAATTACAAAATTCCCTGAGCTTTCTCTCAACTATAAACAGGTGTAAAGATATACAAAATAAAATACTCACGCTTTATTCACTCTTGGAAGTAAATCTCAAAGTACACAAAATATTATATAGTAATGGAAATGCAACAATAATGTTAACTTGGCTTTAAGGCTTAATCCAACTACAAGAACACTAATAAACAATATCACAACCACAAGTGAACAATATAATAAAATCTTCTACTACTACTACTACTACTACTACTACTACTACTACTACTACTACTACTACTACTACTACTACTACTACTACTACTACTACTACTACACTTAAGAGCTGGGGAGAAGTGTTCCTCAGCTCTCTAGCTTCAGAGGGCTGTATTTAAAGCCAAACCACTCTGATTCAGGAAGATTCATAATGATTAGCAGCTGGGAGCTAATTAACCTGAGAGCTGGTGAGAGACAGAGAGAAAAGCAGGGTGGAGCACAACACAATATGCAGGGCCTACACATAAAATAAGGTTTTGGCGGTAACCAATGCAAAACATAAAACATGTCATCTGTAAAAATGGACTTATCTGTTTTTGCAAAGTCTGGAATCTGGAGTTTTTGACCAGTCTGTATAGGCTGGAGTATTATTAAATTTGTGTGTCTCATATACTGTATTTTGCCACTTTGCTATCTTTAGACAGACATCTTTCCTCTTCATTAACTATATAAGTGCACCTGCAGGGGTCCGTTCTTCGTACCTCGCTTAAATGATCTAAGATTATTTTGCAGATCCTGGATCTTTTAATCTTGATAACTGATCTCTCGCTAATTTAGTTCTTCAAACAAGTTCGCGAATCAGATTAGAATGTCTGGATAAACTGATCTGAGATCGCTGCGTGTGTTGTGAAGGACAGATCTATCGATCCTCGAAATCATGATCAGCAATGCAACGATTGGCTGACGGCACAGCAGCGTAATGACATCATCTGATTAATATTCAATTATCCATGTGAGCAAAATTACATCAAATTAGCAGTAAACGGTTTGTTTAATATGACACGCAATAACCTTCCACATTTGTTGTGAGCTGCAGGCTTTACACTTTCATGTGTCAAGACAAGAGTATTCATCATGCATTTCAATGCAAATCAATGTATTTAGTTCTACATTTAGAAAAGATTTTCTTTATTATAGTAGCCGTTTTTTAATCGGTGTAAAGAATAACTGGTTGTTTACAAAAGCATTTTCATATTGGTAAAGGTGTCTGCAACTTTTGTGAAGCATCAATCACTGGCATATTAACTATCAAAACATGTTTATGACTGCATAAATGTATTATTGCTTTAAAAAAAAAGTCACATATTGTGCATTTCTATTATACACAATTTGTACTAAGCGATCTAAAAAGTTCATACCAATTTGTTTTCTCTTTGCACCACCAGATGGCAGTCTTTGTTCATTTCGAGGGTGCAGATTGCATACGTTTTA